GGCGGAGCGGGTTCAACCCCGAGCTCCGAGCCGAGCTGTTGGTTTGCCTGGTAACTGCCCTCAGCTTTAGGCGAAGTCATCTTGCACAAGGAAAACGGCAGCTCTGCAACTGCTCTGCCACGGCGACATTTTTGGTACCAAATCCAGTTAGGGCTGCTTTACTTAATCCTGGAGTCCCTTCACAGCATAAACGGCGTTAGAGCTCCCCTAAATTCTTTGTCATACCTTTTAATTTTTTAAAATATTCCGTTTTCTCCTTCACTCCTTCAGACACAACGTCGCCTTTGCTATCACAGCCCTTGTTTTCCTCCACACTGTTTCTTTAATCATTTACATCCTCTGGGAATTTACTGACAAAGCTGCTCAGCTCCCCTGAATCCCACCAGCAGGTGACAACAAGGGAGCGGATACAGACCCTCTTTGGGCATTTAAAACTGGGACCTTGATTAGTAACTGAACTGTAACAGTTCATTTGTTTGTTTCCATTAATTAATGTGGTTCCAGTTTCTTGTTTGTTCACTTACTACATCAGATTTATATTCTGCCTTCATTGCAAAAGCGTTGAGAAAGGGAGCGGCTTGATTCTGTTCACTTAATTTGTTGTGTAAATAAAAAGCAGTAACTAACCTGGACAACAAAAAAACCTTCAGCACTTAAGAACTGCAGATGGACTGAGTTTTATGGTCTAATTCAGTTTATGCAATGAAAAACTGTGAAAAAGTTTTTATTGCTGTTTCTATATATGACATCTCGTTGTTATCAAGGATAAATGAAATCAGAATGAGCACAAAGATGTTACTGGTGAAATGGGTGCAGCCAGTTTGCATAGCCTGTATAAAATTTCTGATGTGGTATTAGAATGACACTGGATTTGAGTAATGGAAATAAATTATTTACAGTCTGTAGGGTATGAGAGCTTGCTAAATTGTTTTTCTCAAGTCAGAGAGCTTTGTTTTTATCAGACAACGGGGGGAAATTACTGTATGTGAAGTGTACATTTTTCAGCCTGATTCTTCATATTGCAGCTGGTATGATAAAGGGCAAGAAATTCTCCTTTTTGGTAAAACCAGTCTAGGCAAACTTATATGCTGTTTTCTGACTCTGTCCTGGGATCTCACTTTCTTAGGACTGGGCATTCCTCTCAAGAAAACCAAGTGTGGAATTACTTTTTCCTCACTGTTTTCCATGGGTCGATGAAGGCAAAACCCAAGGACCAGAGGACCCATGGGAATGAGCCCTCCTGGCAGCACTGGGTGTGCAGGAAGCCATTGAGAGGGTGCTGGGGGGCTGCCTGTGCAGCCGTTCCCCTCCTCCATCAGCAGTGCTCACAGACTCCGTTCTCACTCCCTGTGCTGCTGTGGTTATACCTGGCTGTAGTGTGTTCACATTTTAAAGCATTAACACTTTTATTTTGTCTTCTCTATGTTTAAAATTTCCCTCAAATACAGTTCAGTGTAAGCATGATGCGGAGTTTTTATACCTTGGCTAGCTCCAGACTTTTAAAGAAGCCTTTCTTTCTTTTGCCTTTGACAGGGAAAGATCCTGGAGAAGACTGGGCTCTGCAGTCAGATCACTTTTGGCCGATACGTGCGACAGGGACGGAAACTAGGGGTGGATCCAAAGCTCTTTATCCAGGATCTGCAGTTCAGCAAAGTACCTGTGAGGGTTTATCAGCCTAAAGCCAGCTCTGATGGGCACAGGAGAGGTATCATCTTCTTCCATGGAGGAGGCTGGGTGTTTGGAAGTCTTGGTAAGATATTTACTGGAGGAATTACAGTAGTGTAGAAAGAACATTCTCATCTTTTTATAAATTTGAAATAAGAGGAGGTCTCAGCATGTGATTTGGGAGGAAGTCTGAAGACAAATACACGCCTTTTTGGAATGAACCTTCCTACCTGCCTCAAAGATCAGGGCAACAGCAAAGCACTAATGAAAATATTTCTCTTCCAGACACCTATGAAAAAGTGTGCCGCTACCTCTCCAGGGAAAGCGAGTCGGTAGTTGTGTCTGTTCAGTAAGTGAACCCTACTCAGTTCTGTTGTTTGGGGACTATTGTTGCTGTGGGGCACCAGCAGAGCTGCACTGGTTTTGGAGATGTTCTTTTTTGCAGACAAATTTCTGTAGAATTCAGTGGGGTCCATAAAGAGACAAGTAGTGATCATGAAAATTTCACAGCTCTTAACTGTTCATGCCCTGATAGACTCAGCAAGAACCCAAATGGAAATACTTGGCACACTAAGAAAATAATAAAAGCCAATCAAACACCTAGGTCAAAAAAAGTCTTCCTTGTGCTGAATATATAAACATGTAATAAGACCCTCCAAATAATTGTGATTTATAGAAAAAGTCGGAATAATCACACCATATTGCTCCTATTTTTCACATAGGAAGCAGAGGCACACAATTATTAAATTATCCTGTGAAGAATACACAGGGAGTTTTCAGCCTGACTGAGAAATGCACAAAGTCTCAGACTCTTGATCAGAAGACAGTCCTGCTTCACTGTGTCCTTGTGACTGACTGCACAACTGACAGCTTATCCGCAGTCACTGCCTGAGGACTGCCTGCTCAGGAGGGAGGGGATAGCCTGACCTGCAGGAACATCACCCCAAAATGACAGGGCAGGAAGACCTCACAGGACACCATTTCCTGATTAACACTGGTGACACTTCCTTCTCTTGTCCCCTTTTGTGTCTCAGGTACCGATTAGCTCCTGAACACAAATACCCTGCTGCATATGAAGACTGTCTGAGTGCCACCATCCACTTCATGAAGAATTTGGAGCACTATGGCGTGGATCCTGCCACTGTCGTCGTCTGTGGGGACAGTGCTGGGGGCAACCTGGCAGCTGCAGTTAGCCAGACCCTTGCAGGCAGGTCAGACCTCCCCAAACTACGTGCTCAGGTCTTGATCTCCCCGGGCCTTCAGGCGCTGGACTTCAATTTGCCATCCTATCATCAGAACCGGGGAGTGCCGCTCCTGTTCCGAGAGCGCGCGGCTTTCTTTGCGCTGCAGTACCTCAACGGGCACGCCCTGCACGTGCAGGAGGTCTTGGAGGGCTCTCACATTCCCCCAGATTTGAGGCTGAAGTACAGGAAGTGGGTGAGTCCAGATAACATCCCCGACAAATTTAAGGTCAGAGGTGTGAAGCCACTTAGGCCCACTGATTTTATAGCTGAAGTTTATGAGACAGTGAAAAGATTCTGCGAGCCCAACCTGTGCCCACTCTTAGCTGAAGATGCCATTGTCCATCAGCTGCCCGAGTCGTTCATCCTGACCTGTGAGTACGACGTGCTGAGGGATGATGGCTTGCTCTACAAGAAGAGGCTGGAGGACAACGGAGTTCGAGTGACCTGGTACCACCTCGAGGATGGATTCCATGGGATCATAAGCCTGTATGATTATTGTGGTTTCTCCTTTCCATCTGGGAAAAGAGGATTGGACAGTGTTGTTAACTTCCTAAAAAGCTTATAGTAAACATCTTAGATTCCATGGGTCTGTTCATGCTTGAACCTAGGAAAATATCTTTTTAGGTTATTTAATATCAAGTGATGGGTAGTCAATCAAGTGCAGCCATTAACAATGCTAAACGAGGCTCATCACCTCCTTCCAGCTGGTAGTTGGAAAGCAAAACTTACACAAGGCTGTCCCATGCTGCAAGCCCTTACTTTTAGCTGTGTCAATAAAAAAGAACATGACTTTGAACGGGCATCCTGGTTTGTCCCACTTGTTTAACACCAACGGTGCCTGTCTGTGAGGAGCCTGTGTGGGGGAGGCCTGTGCTGGGCTGCTGGGGAGGAGCCTGCTGCTGCTGTCGCTGCCTTTTGAGACATACCCTGTGCTCTGATTCTGAGCGCTGGGAGAGAAACAGCCCAGCTGACTCCGTGGGGTAGGAGCCATCCTGTTGGCCACCAGTCAGTGTGATGCAGCCTAGAATGTGGTTACTGGAACAGCAGTCACCAAGGAGACACAAACACACGCAGCTCTCAGCCAGGCGGTTCCTCAGCAGGCAGCCCCCTTGGCCCTGGTGCTGGACTCACAAGTGACCTTTCACCCACGGAACTCGGCCCCAGCAGCCAGGGAGGGTAGTGCTGCAGAGACAAAGAGAGAAATGGCATCACAAAATGACTGGTGGAACGTTCAACCCAAATACTCTGATAAAGTTCTAATTGGAAACTGGCTGGAAGAGCGAAACAGGGTAAGATCAGGAAGGAAG